AATCAATGTTATATGCATGTGTAACGTGAGAACATTGAAAAAAAAACCGAACCGGAATTGACTGTTTGGTCGAATTTAGGTTGGGTTTTTTCAAACTTAGGTTGGGTTTTCCAATAGGGAAAGATCAAGGTATGGGTTCAATCAGTTTTATTTTGTGAAAATTTTATCAAAAATTAAACTAAATCAAACCCAATAAATAATTATAAGTATTAAATAAAGTTTTTTATTTATAATTTATATATAAATACAATTAATACCTAAACAATCATTTTGAAATTTTTTTTTTGGCGTACTCAGTTTGGTTTTGGTTTTATTTTTGAATAAAAACTTATCACAAATTGAAACCGAATGATTTGCCCGCTCGCATTGACCTTCCTGAGGGGTAAGAGATGGTCTTTAATATTTTAATTTATGTCTTGTTTGAGATGCGTCCTTGTCAAACCCTTGGGCCTTGCCTGTTTGCTGGGTTGGCCTAGCTTACCCCAAATTTGGGATTTATTTAAATTCTTCAGCCCACAATTTTAAATATAATTAATATTGGAAAGGTAAAAGAATTTTTAATAAATTAAAATTTTATTATTTATTACCTTTTTCACAAATAACAATTAAATTCACTTTTCTAAACTTATTTTCTCTAAATTTATTTCTTGAACTCGGCTAAAATTATAATAAAAGGATTCTTATTCTTATCAAACAAGTAACCACTACAGTTGGGTAATCCCCCTCCCGTCCCCCTTCAAAATCTAAAAAATATATATATGAACAAAATTTATTATTTGTATTTTTTAAAAAATAAAGTAAAAATTTATTATTTGTATTTATATTTATAATTCTGTATAATTACATAACAAAATTTAGTAATTTATTTTTTTCAAATTTATTTTATTTAAATTTATTTTTCTCAAATTTAGACTAATGATATAAAATTAAGAGTCTATATGTATATGAAGACTACCTGCATTTGAACTTGTCCTCTTATGTGGTTCCCATGATTTTGTGTTGAGGGTGTCGCCCAATGCGTCGAATAGGGGCATGAAGAGGCAATAATTAGTGCACATATCTTCGTGGTGTAGGCTGTGGTATCTGTACATAAATAATGATTAAATTATTAGATTAGTTACTTAAATATACATACAGACATAAATTTAGTGAAAGAAAAAAGTATATTTTGATTCTGACATCCCTCAATATTTACATAAATATGGACTTACGTTGGGGTATATAAAAGGTATTTGAGGAAGGGAAGCTTCTCAAACAACTGACGAGGAACAATCTCTACGTTGGAATGCCCTAAACACCTCAAGAAATCAAAAACCAGAACATAGCCATAGATCATGCTTATAGATCCATATCCAATCGTACAGCTCCCAAGCACAGGCAACCCAATCACAGCCGTTAAAATAAGGTGCTCCAAAAATGTTGCACTTCCAGCTACAGCAACACAAGATGAAGAAGAACAAATTAAATGGGCTCAATCTCCCAAATAAAACCTTTTAAATAGGAAGGTTGGTTGCGAATTTATTTGGCTTACGTACCAGTTAGGGGCTGGGGTACTGGTGACGAATGGTGGAGGGAGTGGTAATGGGTGAAGAGATAATCCCCGTGGAAACACCTGTGCACCCAATAGTACAGGGGCTCTGAAACTACCACGTGGAGGAGAGTTGCAGCAATAAAGCTTCTTGGGTCCCAGAGGGGAAGAAGGGAAAGGAATGGGAAGACATAATATGCAACCGAAGCCATCAGAGCTTGAAGAATTATGAAATTATCCCTGAAATATTGAAGAAGAAAACCAATTAGTCAAGGAGAATTCTATGGTGCCCACCCCTCTCACAAGGGGTGGGCCCCACTGCGGGGCCCCCTGCATTGTGAGGGGGCCCCACTGGCCCCCCCCCCCCTCACAGAAGGGGAGAGGGTACCGGTGCCCCTTGGGCACCGGAGTGTTGTAGTCAAAAGAAACCATTTTTACAAATCGTGAGAAGAAATTAAAAAGAAGAAAAGAAAGGGCCTACCAGTCCCTTCTTTGTCAATCTGCTTGAAATCAACTCCCTGTTGTAGAATCCGACGGTTTCCGGTGAGGAAAAGCATGTTAACGCAAGAAGTCCATAGCTGATAAATGAAAATTCTAAGGCCAGATATGATTAGAATATGAAGACAGAAAGCATCCAAGTCACCCCTTGAATTCCTGAGTGTAAAGCTTTTACAAGGAAAGGCCCATATATCAGGAACTGCATCAAACAGCAGAAAATGATGGTCAGTAACTAAACCGAGCAGGAAAATTCCATGTTTCCATGGGAATTAAAACTTTAAAAATTTTTACATTTTTTTAGGATTTATAAGAATTTTCACACCCCCAGTCTCCTTATTCCAATCACTCTTGCTCTTTATTTTCGTTTCATTCTTCTATATTCTCAATTATTTATTAATAAACTAAAAGAAACACATAATGAAAGCATATAAACTGCGAGAGGGAGGGGGGAGGAGGTCAGAGATTTCATACCTTAAAGAGGCCCAAGTTCTCCCAAGGCCAGGCAAACAATGCTGCAACCATGTCTTGAACTGAGAATCTTTTTTCTGTTCTTGTTAATTTTTCCCTTAAACTACTTCAGTGATGCTGTCAGAGTTAGGAAGGACAACTGAACACACACAGAGCAAGCGAGCGAGCGAGAGAGAGAGAGAGAGAGAGAGAGAGAGAGCTGTTTATGTTCTTAGTCCGAATGAAGGTTGTGCTTTAGTTGATACGATCTCGTACTTATAGCTGGAAGAAGAGAGAGAGAAAGAGAGAGGAACAAAAACTGGGGTGGTTGGACTGATTTTGAAAGATTCAGAGTCTTGCATATTGTTTTATAGTGCGAGACGTTTTAAAGTACGAAAATTCAATATTTTAGAATATTCTTATACAGAAAAAAAAAATTCAGTGACTAAATCTCAAAATTCTAATTTGAAAATCTAGAAAACCTAAATCAAGATTTTCAAAATGCATAATCCAAAAAATAAAAAAAATCAAAATTTTCCTATGTTTTTGGGATTAAAAATTTTAAAAATCTACTACTCTCAGTGTGCCAACTATCCCCAGAACTAAAAAGAATTTAAAGTCCAAAAACAAAAAATTGCTGAAGTGTCCAGCAGTCCTCACCCAAGTCACTTTTCTTTCAAGTTCTTATGATCTAAGCTGTCCCAGCAGGGCAGGGCAGGGCAGGGCAGGGAAAGGAAAGGCACGGCACGGCACCGCTGTAGGTATGGCCAAACTCTCTCATAAACTTAAATGTTCCTACTGTTGGAAGGTGGGGGAGTCCTGGGGGTGTAGTTTTTCTACGGAAATTAATTTCTAGTGGGGTCTTAACAGTAATTGCCGATTTATGATGGGTGAATTGGAACTTCAGGTTTGATTTCCAACTTTCTCGGGTAAGAATTGAGGTAGTATATGTTATGATAAAATAATTTTTGATGAAGTGAGAATGAGAATGAAATTGAGTGGAATTAGTATTCTTATGAGTATGTTTGATGCATATTGATAAAACGAAGATTCTCATTTTATAATTATGTTTGGTATGTTGTAATAGAAATAAGAAAATAAACAAAAAAAAAAATGTCCAAAAACAAAAATACATTTTGTTATAAAGATTTAAATTTTTTTAAATTTTTTTTAATATATTTTAATGTATTAAAAAATTTTAAAAATTAATTTTTTATTCTAACATTAAAATATTAAATTCATATATATGTATATTGTATATATATATATATATATATAAGTTATTTATATTATAAAAAAATAATAAATGATATAATATATCATATTATACAATTTATTATATTATACTAGATATATATAATACATAATCTTACTATACAATTTATTATAGTGTAATATAATATGTTAATATATAATATTATAAATATTATAATTTTTTTTATACCTATAATATATTTTTGTCAATTACTTAAAAAGTAAATGTCAATATAATAATTAATATTTAAATAAGAATTCTTTTAAAGGATGAAACACTCATTTCTTAGAGAATAAAAATTTTTATTTCAAAATATCTACTAAACATATTTTTTTTGACATTCTTATTCACATTCTTTCGAGAGGATTTCAACATATTATATATTATCTAAGTTCCAAGTAAAGTTAGAGTTTTCACAATTCAAAGTAGAGCTCAACCTTTCTCATTACTCAAAATATGCAGTGCATTTAGCATTTAATTTTTAGACATATAATTACATTTACTTGTATTTATAATTAAAATTAGAAATTCCTACTTTCATGATCATTTTATTTCAACCCGTTTCGCGAAACACCAATCTCTTAGTATTGGCTTTTTTTATACGTAAAAACTCTTTTTACTCTAATTGATTATGAACTGAAACCAAGCACACCCTTCTCCATTTTTCTCTCCCTTTTGGCATACAATAAAAATAAAATTATACCCAAACGGGATAAAGCAATTTTGACAGAGTATTGAATAGGTCTAGCTTTGGAAGGCACATTTTATTGTCACCTTTTCAAATTTCTTATGCCATTTAATATAGGCAATATTACTAATTTTTTCCAATATTTAATTGCAAGGTGTCAAAAATTTCGCGTTTCTCACGTGGGTGACACTCACGTGGAGCCACCGGCCAATAACAAAAAGACCAGTTATTGGTAAGGAATTAGGTGGGCCAGAAGTTGGTGAGTCACACACTTCCTGCTTCGGGGCTCTGATTTTTATTATGGTTGTATTTTTTTATTTTTTCATCTTGCGGTCAAAAACTTGTACTATAATCCCGGCTGCAATTAAAAATAAAAAAAGAAGAAGAAGAAGAAGAAGAAGAGTAGTGAGAGTAGGGTCCTACATCTCATACCCTATTTTAGTAATGCATAACATACATCTCATACCCTATTTTAGTGATGCATAACAAAGGCAATGGAAAAAGACACTAGTACATGATATTATGAAATAATTCAATAAGTTAATAATTTTAATATCTATTAAATTAATATCAAATGTTGAAACTGATATTAAAATAATGAATGTTAAGACTCTTCTCTCAATTAGTCATTATTTAATATTAATTAAAACAATAGAAAAGATTTTGAATGCATGAACTTACGCTTGTTACTTATCATATAAGATTAGGAATCCTCTTCAAATAAATGGATAAGAATTTATTAATTTGTCACATTATTGAATGAGTAAGCTATAATTGGAAGAGCGATTGGGTGTCATAGCCAATGCATCCAATTTAAACTTACCATTTTTTTCCTTCCATTCAACTGCAATTTTGGCTCGCCTTAGTGGCATTAGTGATCCAAGTGGGTTATGACAAGGATTCACAGCTAATTGTCCCACGAAAGCTACAGGCAATTAAATTACGGTGGGGTGCCAAACTTGACCTTCTTTGCCACAACGTATAATTTGGCACTCGACTTCAATTCAAAGTCTTGTTGCGACTTCAATTCAAAGTCTTGTTGCAACTTCAAATGTCGGTAACAATTAATATGTCATCTACAAGGTTTACAAGGCTATTATGGAGATTAAACTGGGGTCAATTGTGCAACTACTTGCTTAGCCGGCCCATAAATGGAAATAAATTAATAAGAGAGGACAACTAGCCAATCAGCTTGGCCTTGGGAAAATATACAGCTGGATTAAAGGCATTTGCAGCATATGGCATGTTGCCTATGAAATGAATATATCTCATGTGACTAAATTGTGTAATTGGACATGAGACCATAATTAAATTAATACCATCAAATTGCTCGGATCTATTTTTTAATTAATTTTGTTAAAATGTTTTCTCTAAGCTTTTCTATTTTTTTATTTTTGAAATTTTAAAATAAAGCATTTTAAGTATCTAATTCCAAATCATTCTTGGTTTCAATATGTTAAAGTTTTCAATGCAAAAATGTTATGCAAACATTGATGATAATCCAAATTCAATTCAAATTTTGAACAAGATGTAATTACATATATTGATCTAGAATTTTTTTTTTTTAAAGATTTGGATTTGATTAGGGATTATTTTTATTTTATTTTTAGATATATTCAAATTTTTTATAAATATCTTAAGAAGGCAATATTATTCTTTAAAGATTTTTTATCTTTCAAGAGTACTAAATCTTTTAGGATTTTTTTTCTATAAAAAAGGAGACTAATTTTCCATTTGATTGGAAAGAAAAAAAATACCTCTAAAATGTTCAAGAAGAAGGAAAAAAATTACATTTGAAAAGTTCAAGACTTAACTAAAATTTTCCGACAAGAATCAACCATTCAATAACTAATTTCAACTATTCTAGAGTAAAGAGTTGGAGATGTTCCAGTAGTTCAAAATTGAGGCATTCTACAGTAAAGAATTAAACATATTACACTGGTCTGAGATAAATTGATGTAAGGGAAATCGAGTTTGTAATTGAGCTCTTCTTAGAGTTTAGATAAAATTTTTAAAAATAATTATGTAAACATTCTTGACTTTTTATTAATAAATTTTAACCCAGTTTTTTCCCATAATTATGCTAGTTGAGCTTGAATTGTTTTGTTTGAGTGGATATATTTGGTCATTACTCGTGCCATAAAAAAAAATTATGAATCATACTTCAGTATCAAAGTGTCATTCCAAGCTATGCATGGTATGAAATAAATTCAACAACAAAGCAATCAAACCATTTTCCATCTATCACAAATCTAATTGTCAACAACAATATCAACAAGGGCACACTACTAGAACTAAAAACTATTGGGAGCTGGTTCCTGTAAAGAATGAGAGATATGATTGGGAAGAATTTTTTTGGAAGATTTGGATTTGATTAGAGATTATTTTTTATTTTATTTTTAGATTTATCCAAATTTCTATAATTATCTTAAGAGAGCAATTTTATTTTTTAAAGAGTTTTTATTCTTTAGGAACCTTACATCGTTTATAACTCTTCTCGACAAAAAAAAGAGTCTAATTTTTCATTTGAATGGGAGGAAAAAAAATACATTTAAAAAGTTCAAGTGCAACCAGAGTTTTAAAAAAAGAATCAAATATTTAACAACTGATTTTAACTGTTGTAGGATAAAAAGTTAAAAACATTCCAATAGTCCAAAACTAAGGCATCCTAGGGTATAAAGAATTGGAAAATTTTCAATGGTTCAGGATAAATTGGTACAAGAAAAATCAAGTCTATAATTGAATTTATGTTAAGGATTTCTGAAATCAATTGTATAAGCATTTTTAACTTTTTATTGGTGAATTTT